ACACATACAAACTCAGAAGACACTGCAGGTTCACTGGTGGTTCTGGATAGTAAATAAAATGCTTCTACTGTCATTGTAGATATTATGACCCCTGGTTCCTATCACCACCACTGTAAAGAAATCCGAAATAAATCTTGAAAAGTCACCATTTTGGAGGTACAAGGTGACAGCGGTAATGCACAGCTTAAACACTGTTGAATAAGACCCTCCCTAGCCAGACTCCTACTTTGGGTGAAGTAGGCTGCATTACTGTATGTGCTTAATAATGGGTTTATTCACAGCTGCTTTATTCAGAGCTGGTGTGACTGCATGAGGCAATACCTTTAGCTGTTCAAACATTCCCATAGGCCATATCTGTGGCCAGTTAGTCACCCGGATGCCAGGTGTGATTCAAGGCACAGGCAGTGGGTGAATAACTCAGCAGGTATGCTGATGCTTTACTTCAGAATAGATCCTGGTGTCAGGAGTAAAAGACTTATCCAGAAATGTAATCTATCTGGCAGTTGAAATTAGCCGTGACAGTAATCTCCTCAGGCCACAACGTCATTATGTTTTTTGAGCGACGTTGTTTACTTTGCGTCCCCTGCTAGTTAAAGGGGAACTCCAACGATTCAAAGTTTCTCCATAATTAAATGGTTAACATCAACAAAAACATTCGAAGTGGTTTGGTGTGAAATGCTCTGTTCTAGTGAAACTTACAGAGTCAGAATTGTTCACAGTGGTGGTGATAGGAACCAGACATCTGTTGAGTTTAATTACTCTAAAAGCTCCCTCCCAGAAAAGTATTACATTAAATAGTTATAAATTCACTGCCTCTTGTCTGAGACATTGTTTTACAGTAGTTCTATAATGAGGTTTTGGTCTAAAACATATTTTAATCAACTTGTTTAATACATTCATGGTGGAGGGATACATGAAGGGTGTTCTAAGGCACAATATTCCCCAAAGAAAAACTTATTTTTTTCAGATTGAGGATTATTTTATCATCGTCAACGTTACATAGAAGTAAATAAGATAGTAAATAAAATTGCTATATTTGCATTGTAGACATCAGGACTTTCGGTTCCTATCACCGTCATTGTGAAGAAATCTGAGTCTAGTTTCTCTGCAAATAAACCATTTTACATCAAACCACTCTGAATGACTTTGTTTACATCTCAACCACTGTTTTATACAGAAATTCCCCTTTAAATAAGCGTAATGGTGACCATTTTTCCCCACGCTATGTTTGTGGTCTTCACTAAACAGGCGAAACCTGCCTGTCCTGACAGGACCCCCGGTCTGAATGAGACTTGAATGTCAGTGGGCTGTGTGAAACCTCTCGCTTTTGTCCAGCTCTCCTCGCGACTCCCACGTCTGGTTTCTGTTGCTGTTCTGTTAAACCTTATCTCACAGACAGATCACGGTCTGATTTTGTTGTACGACAAATAATAAGATTTGTCCCTCCATATCAACACATACAAGATCTGAACTCCTGATGTGCCGTTTGCGAACAGTTTCTAAGTAAGTCTTATGGAAATCACCACAGACAGCCTGGCATTACTAGGCTATATGAGTCTGTTTACGTGTTTATTACACTCAAACAGGCACACTATTTATCGTGTGTTTTGTCGGTGATTTATGTTAGTAAAGTCTCCAAAATGTCATTTTACCTCATATTCATATTTATTTAAAGTAAAAAGTCACTTACTCAAACGGTTCGTCCTACCGAGCATGCGCAGATCATTAGTATTAGTGTAAGCTGTTTGAGACGTTTTATTGTGTTTTTAGCGTTAGTTCAGTGCAGACTCAGCTTAGTATCACTACTTATTATTACTATTACTGTTATCACCCCCGATAAGGTGACTTAGGGTATCAAAATATCCTACTTATTCTTTTAATGCTGATAACAGGCTATCAAAACATTAGACCTAAGGTTGGGGAGAGTGGGAGAAGAGCACTCAGAGGATTCCCAGAATACCGTGCGCCTCTCTGCAGCCTTTGTTTGGCTAAATTTGTTGAGATGTGTGAGTTTTGGTTGTGTTAAACCGTGTCCTTTTCGGCTAATAGCGTGCTGGAACTGTTTTACCATCGTCGTGTTACGTTTGCCTGTTGATGATCTGTCCTCCTTTCCCCTCTGAGTTTGCTTCTCCCTTGTGTTTACTGTCTTTCTCGAGAGCGTTTCCCTAAAAGACAGTGGTAGCTCTTACTGTCAGGTCATTTTGTGTGCAGGTGCTACAATGTTCAACCCGTAGTTTTAATGGTTTGTGAGTTATTTAGGCTGTCAGAATATCCCGTCTACACATTTATGCGCTACGTTATGACATTTCGACAGTTCGCCGTCTCTCTCGACTCGCTCACGCCACTTCCAGCAGCGAATGATTGACGTGCGCGCGCGGGCCGGGCGGCGCGAGCAGAGGAAGGGTGACATCATCCTGAGTGGCTTCGCGGTGGGCGGGGCCAGCGCGCGCGGAGCAAAATCCAGTTTCAGGTGCAGCTTGAAAAGGTTTTAAAACAAGTTTGGCGAGCCAGAGAGGCAGACGGGCTGCGGGTCCGGCGAGCGAGCCAAGAGCGGATTATAAATGAAGTGTCCACTTGAGCCGAGGCCCGCGGTGAAGGCGTGTACAGGAGAATGCACTGGGAGCAGGTTCTCCGCTTAAAGAATGGCAAGAACAGCCAGGTGGGAGACGGAGACTCGGTAACTAGCGGTTTTATAATGGTTTATTAGACCGTTTCGGCTGACTACAGCGGGCTGACTCTGAACAGCCAGTAACTCTAACTGTAGTGATAAAAGCTGCTGTTTATTTCGCTTTGTTTCCCTCGTGTCGGAAGGCTGTGAAGTTGCTTCAGTAGCGGACTGAGCCCAGGGGACTTTATCTTTCACTGAGGAGGGAGCAGAGTTAGCTCACAAAGCAGGATTTCTCAGAGAACTGGATACCTTAAGCCCAAAAGAGTGGGAAGTGTCCAGTTTTAGCGTTCATATGTTCTTCTCGTAGTGCACTGGACTGGTTTCGGGTTAAAGTTATCTGGCTAACTTGTGAAACATCCCTCAGCTACTGAGATGTTCCGGTGATGATGCGGTGATGGCTGTTTACCGTCACCTCTTAGTCACGTGACCCCGCGAGGCTGTTAATGCGAACTAATGTTTACGCACGTGTCTAAACGGGTTCATTGACTCATGCTGGCTCCGTCATGCCTGTACCGAAACTGGTAGAAGTGTGGAAACGGGGGCACAGCAGAGGCGAATGTGGCACACGTTGGTTTTACAGCTGAAGACTTGGGCATATAAGGTTGTCGGTACAGGAGGCTTTAAAGCAGTGGTCACCAACCCTCCTCCTGGAGATCTGACACACAGGGCTGGTGACCTCTGCTTTAAAGGAATGGTTCTGCAAAAAATGAAAGGTGGGCGATATGGCAAAAATATAATATTGCTATACTTAAAGAAATGTTCACAATACACAATATGTCACAATATTTATTTTTTCAGACACCTGATCAGCTTTAACAGAGAATAAAAGAACCAGTAGTGCTTCATTTTAAACAATGCTGTTAAAAACTGAATTATTTTTATTCAGTATCTGGTAGGCTGTGTTGCACTAAATCCAGTTGAACAGGACTAATTTTGCTCTCTTTATAATGAATGCAGTTGGTCAGTGGTCTACAAGTACTGACGATATGCACAGTAAAGCGAATTGTATTATATTGTGGCATAATTTATCACAACAACGATATATATTGTGATTTTGCCCAGTCTAAAATCAACACAATTTCCACATACCCCGTGCTTGTTGATCGTCTGAGACACGTTTGGAGTCCAAATTTTGCTTCCTTAGTTCAGAACTAGTGTCGAGGCTAATGTTGCTAACAAACACTAGAACTTAATAGTCACCTGAATAGCCCAAATCATTCAAAACTTCTTTCAACCTGCTCAAACCACATGTATGTCTTCAATAAGGTCGCACAGACTTGCTTATGTGGTTTCGGACACAGTATGACTGTCACTGTAAACTACAAAATCAGCAAAATTGTGGTCTGTAATAATACACTCTCCAATCTGTTCATCATGAATACAGAGGAATCTGATCCACAATCAGCCCTGCTTTGTAAAGTTCAGCCTTGGCGCTCTTTTTTATTTGTTCATTTTTATAGCACAGTTAGTCACACTTGGACGGGACCTGGATGCAGTTTGAGCGCATTGTGAGAAGTGTTTATTGTGGTATATATTTTTACTAGCACTATTTGGGCTATTTGGGTGGCTATTGGGTTCTTGGGTTTGTTAGTGACGTTAGCCTCACAGCTCCAGTTTGAAACTAAAGAAACAAAATCTGAGCTCCAAACATGTCTTGGCTGATCAGCTGGGGTAAGTGGAAAATTGGGTACAGCTCTTCCTTTAAAAGGGAGTCTCGATTGAGAATGGTTGTTCCCGTTTCACAGCGTCAGCACGCTTATTCTAAAGAACTCAGCGGTTTGTGATGCAGACAGATGAACAGGCACCTGACCTGCAGACAGGCGAGCAATTTCTCATAAACATGAGCTTACGAGGACGGAAAATCCAGGTTAATCTCCCCCTCAGGCAAAAGGGTGGCTGCCTGAAGTGATTTTAGGCGCGACAGCTCCAACGTTCAGGACGGAAACACTGTAATCCCACAATCATGCTAGTCATTTTTATATGTAGTTCACTCACCATGGAGCTGTATTGTGCTGAGTGAGTGATTGGCAGCCATAAATGTCTGGGTTTGTGGGTTCATCCAGTTGAGGGAAGTGACAGTATCATCTCCATCTTAAGGGTTGGGGTTATTTTAGGTTAAAGAGAGTGAGACATTCTAGAGAGGCTCTGACCTAATGCCTACAGAAATGGCTGGTTGATTGCTTCATCATGTCAGCAGAAGGCACGAAAAAACTTCTTTTTCTGAGCTGAGGTCATCAGTTGCTTTTTGTTTTCTTCCCTTTTGGCCTTCCTCTCGTGCTCTTCTCTTTTGCTCTACATTTCACTGACCTGCTGTTCTCTCTCTGTCTTGCAGATCGAGAGGTTGGAGGGCAGCCTCGCTCAGGCCGCATTGGCTGCCTCATGCGGCGCGGACGGCTCGCTGGTGGGGTCGGAGGATGCATCCCTTGACCCCCAGCGTACACGGCAGGCCATCGCGCAGCTGCAGCAGAAGATCCTGAAGCTGACAGAGCAGCTGCGCATCGAGCAGACGGCGCGCGACGAGAATGTGGCCGAGTATCTCAAACTCGCCAACAACACCAATGACAAGCAGCAAAGCTGCCGCATCAAACAGGTACCGGCAGGCCTGCCTTAATGCGTCTGTACGTCTCTCCATCAGTCTCTCTCTGCTATGTATTTCAGGAGATAAGTGTAATTTTGCTGTCCAGCTGACCTGATTTTTCTCTCGTCTGTGCCTATTTATCACCTGTTTATCTTTTAGTCTTGTTAGTTAATCTGTCTGCAATTTCCTCATTATCATTCTCTCAATTTCCTTTTTCCTTACATTCATTGTTTACTTGATGCATCTTTAACCTTTATCAACTTCCTCCAAATATGTGTGATTTCAGTTCACATGATGATATCATGGCTCAGCCGAGAGTTTCCTACACTGGAAAGCCATTATAGAGAACAAAATTCTTATTTTTTATCTTATATCATGGAAAAATGAAGTTTGCTTGCATTTTCTGAAATAAAAGCGTTTGATGTAACACATAAACACTGCTACAGGCTTAAAATGTCCCATTCACTTCCCAGTACATACAGTCCAAATATGAAAACTAAGCAGCAAAAACATCTTGTTTTGAGTTCACTGTTTCTGTGATGTCTCAAAAACCAACACGTATCCGAATATCCATTATATTCACCCTACAGTAGTTTAGCCCCACCCATTCACATTGATTCAGCCCAATCTGTTTTCTGAATAAAGCACAGTACAGGGCAGCCAACCAGAACAGAATTTCATTTACTTATATTTACATATTAAACACAGTAACAAAAACAACCTGTTTGCCTAATTCTAAGGCACAGATTTCCAACTTTAAGCTTGGAGTACACCTGCCAAACACATTTTAGTGTTTTCCTGCTCTAAAAATCAGATCAGGTTAGATCAGGTGTGCTGGCAGCAAAGGAAACTCTAAAGTGTGCAGGGCAGTGGGGTACTCCAAAAAACAGGAGTGGAAACTGCTATTCTGAGTAATAGAGAGGTTAGAGAATGATCACTTAATCATGAATTATGGCTGTTGTTGGTACATAAACCCATATAAACATCATTCGAGGATCTTGCGGAAAAAAACAAGACACAGGGAATAAGTAGGATATGGGCCCTATTAAGTAAATGCTTTTAAAGACCAATACATGTATTTGCTCATCACTCTTCCAGCACATTTCACACAGTACATTATAGGTATTCCTTCCACGGATTGTATGGATTGGTATGTTTGATATCTCATGGGACTGTAAGAGTGTACTGAATGTTCTCCATAGTTTTGGACATGGCCCAAACTGGTTGCCACTGATATTTATTAATTGTTAGCCACAGTAGCCCCTAAACAAAAAAAATCATATTATTTTTTCATTGACGCTTACCTCACCAGCTCCCTTTCACTTCCTCAGGTTTTTGAAAAAAAGAACCAGAAGTCGGCGGCGAGCATCGCGCAGCTGCAGCGCAAGCTTGAGCATTACCACAGGAGGCTGCGTGAGGCCGAGCATGGCGGAGCACCACGGCAGCCCAAGGACGTGCTGCGGGATGTGCAGCAAGGCCTGCGGGGCGTGGGTGCCCGGGTGATCACAGGTCTCAGCGAGGGTGTGGTGGACAGTGTCCGGGGCGGCCTGTCCAGCTTTTCGCATGCCACACACTCTGCGGCTGGCGCCGTGGCCTCCAAGCCACGTGAGATCGCTTCGCTCCTGCGCAACCGCTTCGGCAGCGCCGACAACATCAGCACGCTGAAGGATGGTGCCGATGAAGCCTGCAGCCCACCCTGTGAGAAAACATTTAATAAAAAACTGAAAATGTTTAATAAAAAACTGAAATATTGAAAATATTTTAGGCCTATGAGTACATTTTCCATCAAATTTCATTTTAAGGGAAAATTCTGTTAAATAACAAAATTCAAACTTCATTTCAAATTTTGTTCAAAATATTGTGAGAACACAGAGTCATGAGCTCAGTATTGTGAATTGAATTGAGTCATAGGCTGAATGTATGATTATCCCTACAGAACAAACTATCTCATTTTCTTATTACTTGTGAAAAATCTATCCATTAATAGCTAACACTAGCTGGCTGTCACATGCTTGAATTCCATTCAAGTCAAATGGCAAAATATTTTTGAGAAAATTAGCTAAATTGATACTATGTAAACTTATATTATTAATTAGTTGTTACATGAATAGCATATTTGAGTTCACAGAAGAGGTTATCTCATGATGAGAATGCAGATTTCTCTTGTAAATATAGTTTGATTACTGTTGGCACTGGACAAATTACATTGCTGAAACAGATAACCCATTAAAACACGTTTTTTTCTGTGCAGCACACCTGCAGTCCAGCCCCAAGTTTGGCAGTGAAGAGGACTGCTCAAGCGCCACGTCAGGCTCAGCCGGAGCCAACAGTGTGACAGGGGCCCCCGGGGGTCCGCCGAGCTCTAAGGGAAACACGATGGAGAGGGGACGTAGTGGGAGCCTGGAGATGCTGCTGCAGGAGGTGCAGGAACTGAGGGAAGCCCAGGCACGGCTGGAGGAAACACTAGATGGGCTGAAGAGTCACTACCAGAGAGACTATTCGCTGGTGATGCAGGCCCTGCAGGAAGAGCGCTTTAGGTAAACACGCTATACCTGCAACTGACTGCTGTTTTTATAATCAACAAATTTGCCTCGGCACAGTGGCATCATCATTCAGAGTTCCGTCTGTGAAACAAACAATTGTTTTATGGTGCAGTGATACAGTAGAAGTCATATCGCCCCCTACACCTCCTGTGGTGAACTGCAGTCTGTCAGAGTGATTATATAGAGATGATATAGATGATATATTTCTCTATAAATGTCTAAGCAGTTTAGTCAATTAATAAGAACAGCGCTACACACTTTAGAAAGCCAGTTTGGCCTTTATTTGTACGTTTGTTTTTATGTAGACCTAAAATAGATGTTCTAAATTTTCCCTCATCCAAAACGCAGATGGGCAAACAGAAGGAAGGAGAGAGAGAGAGGGGGGGGCAAAGGGAAAGGGAATAGGAAAGGGGTGATGAGTGGACGAGTGAATTTTTCTGCCTAAAATGTCCAGCAGTGGCCCAGCACTGTTTTCTTTTCACTAAAAATGGAAAGAACAGAAAAACAGCCGTTTAATGATAGTAACTGGCACAGAGTGTACCGGGCACGTAATGGGCGCTGAGGCGGGTGGGTTGTTCTTGACAGCAGTTGTTCCTCTTCAGTCTCTCTCTTTTAGATGATGTGTTGGTCCAAAAGGAAAAAGAATGATCATAAAAAACTTAAAAACCTTAACGTATGCTTACACTTAGGCTAGACGATATATTGTTTATTAATTGCTATTGAGATATTGTAACTGGCCTTTGCGATACTTATGTTGCATAAGGCCTCAATATGCAAATGGACCTGTAATCTATCAGTAAGTGTTTTTTTGTGTGCTGTGAGCATCTTGACCAACCTCAGATGTTCCAGCTGAGTGTTTCTATGGGTGATTTGGATGAACCAAGGCATTCATATGATCCCACAAATGTAAAATATTTTGGTTAAAAATTGCAAGCCACAAAAAAGCACTGTAAAATTGCATTCATTTACTGGCTAGTAGTTACATTACGTTCACAGTAATTTACTGTATTATATTAACAGTAAATAACAGTAACTTTATGCTGTGATGTCATAGTCACCTGGACCACAAGGTTACTGTAATGTAGCTGTATTCTGTTGTACTCCTACAGTAATAAGCTGAAAATACAATAATCTCTTGTATTCTTTTGTATTTTTTTGTATTTTAACAAAAGTAAACGTAATGCAACTTAGTATCCAGTAATTTATCATAAATTTACATATTAAAAATACTTCATTTTTACCATTTTACCTATAAGTGTAAATAAATGCACAAACATGGCCAAAAACCCACATATGGCAAAGCTAAAAATAAAAAAATTGCTGTCACATCAGTGCTCGATCATTTAAACAGTTGAAAAATAAATATTTATAGCATAAAACTTAAATACACCTTTTTAACTCTCAGTTTCTGTCATATCCCACAACACTGTGTGGTACAGGTCAACATCCACCTCAGTAACTTGCTGAGTTAGTACAGAAAATGTCTTTAGATTTGATTTCCCAATATAATGAAAACAGCCTTTTACTGTGAAAAAAATGTGTTAGATGTTGTAAGTATTGTGAAAAATAGATATAATAGTCTTAAACCACGTCACGTCACTTATGTTTTTAGTACATGGATATATACAGTATATACAGTATCACAGTCACAGTATACCGGAGTATCGTCTTAATGTGGAATTCTGTCTGTCATGCATGCCAAACTTACACAACCCCTACAGAATTAAGCCTGCAGCCTTGTGTTTTCATGTTAAGGAGTGGCTGCTTTTTTGAGTAATAAATAAGATCAAGTTCTTGTGCAAGACCTCACCCCCTTCTCTCTCACTCCCCAGTCTCTCTCACTTCACTCGTGAGCAGGCTTGATGACAGAACATGAGATCACCTTTCACACCTGAGACACATACAGACACAGATTTTGAACTGCTAAGTAATTGTGTGTTCTTCCTGTTTTTCCAGGAAACACTTGAAATTAACAGAGCACTCACTGTCTCAGGTTTCTGTGTATGTGACACTGACTTGTTGTGTGTGCATCTGTAGGTGTGAGCGGTTGGAGGAACAGTTGAATGACCTGACGGAGCTCCATCAGAATGAGATTCTAAACCTGAAACAGGAGCTGGCCAGCATGGAGGAGAAGATCGCTTATCAGTCGAACGAGAGAGCTCGAGACATACAGGTAATGTGTGTGTGTGTGTGTGTATGAGTGTGTCCAACAATCATTCTGAAAAAAGGGCACTGGGTGCAATACAGGATGAACCTGTACAGCAGTGCTTTGCATCATCATCAAAGCAGACTGTGACCTCTAGTGGCCAGATGTAGTAAATGCCAGGCAGAATGTATGAGGTGTGGAAAAGACAGTGAAGACCACTATGATCCCACAGCCTTTTTTGTACATATTATGGACTAAAATGATTGATTTTTGCAGCTTTTCTTAAAATTTTGCACTTTTTAGGGTGCTAGAGGTGTAGAATTTTCAGTGATGTAATGAAACTACTTGTATATTACATAAGCTCAATATGTCTACAGTCAAAGAAATAAAATAAAGTGTGTAGGTAGGACATTTCATAGCACTAAAAACTGAAGTTCTGTTGGAGATTTTTTATTCAACTGAGCAAAACCAATCTGTGTGGTATATAATTGGAGCTCGAAGTAGAATCAAGACATCTTAGTGACGCACTAAAATGGAAATCCTTGAAATAAATTCACATGGCCAACATTTTCTTTCTCCTGTTGTTCAGTGTTTGAACGTTTGATTTTTGTTACTATTAAAATGACTTAAAATTTAAGTCTTAAATTTTAAATTTATCTCTAATTTTTAATATTGACATTGAAAATCGATTTGAATCTTGACCTCAGAATCAAAAATCAAAATCACATCAAACCTGAAAATGTGTATTGTTAGACCCCTAATCGATGTGGTCGGTGTGGCTTTACATGACAATGGCTGGGCTTTGTATATGGCAAAGAAGCTTGATACTGATTGCGGGTGTGTTTATCTCTCCCTTCCTGTAGGAGGCGCTGGAGGCGTGTCAGACGCGGATCTCTAAGATGGAGCTGCAGCAGCAGCAGCAGCAGGTGGTCCAGCTGGAGGGCTTGGAGAACGCCACGGCGCGCACTCTGCTCGGCAAACTCATTAACGTGCTGCTCACGCTGATGGCCGTCCTGCTGGTGTTCGTCTCCACGGTGGCCAACTGCGTGGTCCCCCTGATGAAGACACGCAGCCGCTCCTTCTCCACCCTCCTCCTCCTCCTCCTCTTCGCCTTCCTCTGGAGAAACTGGGACACCCTCTCAGGACACACCCACCGCATCCTGCACACGCCCAGATGACCACACCCTCCTCACACCTCTCCAGCCAATGGCAGTGTGGCATGGCACTCCTCGCTGAGTGGGCTGGGATGTTAAGAGAGAGGGGGCGGGGCAAAAAACTGTGATTGAACTTTTTTAAGAAACAGGTGTACACGTTTACATTTTCGAAGAAAAAAAAAGTAGTCTGCTTTTTCTCGTAGAACTGCTTTTATTATGACGTTAATTAATTATATTGATATTATTCCAATTTCTAATAATTATTTTGTTTTTATCATAATTTTAATCAGTCTGATGTAGCATTAAGCTCCTGTTACTCTCTGAAACAGGTAATGGGAATCCATTGGTGTCATTGGATGTTGGAACTCAGAGTTGCCTCCCCTGACACTGCCTTTAGTAGATTTTTAGTGAATCTGATTGGCTGCCTTTAAAGGGGAGGTTTATGCACTTTTAGCTGTGAATGACAGCAGTGTTAGCCTACTCTGCCCTCACCTCGTTCACTGCACTGGATCTGAAGATAGAAGGAGAAGTCTTGTGTTGGAGGACTCACGTTTTTTAGGCAGAATGGACTGACGGACATACTTGAAGAGAGAGAGTGGTGCTTCGGGGACCTTTTGTGCTTCCATACTGTTTCTATTAGCAATGAAATACAACTTTCAGGAACTTTGTAAAGTGAGTGAAATACTGAGGCTGTTAAATGAAAGATGACATTGTCAAATGAGGTTCGACCACTTTAGTGACTGGAGCCTGTTCACCATGTGATTTCCAAGAAAGACTTGACCCAGAAGGAGTGTTAGCATTAACAATGAGGATGAGTTAATCATCGCATCAAAATCTCAGAACCTTATTTTTCAGTTTTTCAGTCATTTTTCCACAATTTGAAAGCACCAACTGGCCTCCACGTTGTCTGAACATTTCATGAAAAATGAACAGAAATGGTCCAAAATGACTTGCAATAAAATTTTTGTTGCATTAACTTAGATTAAAAGCTAGAAACATTTCCTTCCTCTGTAAAGTTACCATTTTGAGCGATGATAAGCAACATTACAATAACAGGATTACTATTATGGGTACAAACAGTTTAAAATGACCATGTTAGTTACTCAATGTGGAAAGTATGAGTGGGGAATTTTCTGTCTGCCACAAATTTGACCCTCTGTTTGCTCTCTACATGCCAGTGGAAGAGCCTTTATTGATTTTAAATGGAGATAATTGTGTATCCATTATCATTGGTACACAGACCTATCTTTCATAGTATTCGGGCTCCTGAGGTGTCTAGATAAGATGTCTAGACAATGATTTGATTGTGTACAGTTAATTTCAGTAATCTAGTAATTTAAAGTAGAAACCCTCTGGATCTCTCTCTGATGGTCCAGGTGGACAGGCTCTAGGCCCACTGCAAGAACAGTTTGACCTTAACCTGACCCCTGAGTGTGAAAGAGAAGAAGTGTGTTTGTGTATGTATGTGGATGTATGTACGTGTAGGCATGCATGCTAAACAACTCCAGTGCCTTCCGATGTCTCTTTATGTGTTTGAGACTTGTGTAATAAAGAGCATTCCTGCCTAGACAGAGAACACGACTGTGTTTATGACTGTAAGGTCGGGGATGTTTTGGTTTTTGCTGAATAATTTCAAAAGTATTCATGCTTTAAATGACTGATACTTTTTATACAAGCAACCTACACGTCTCAGCTGCAAAGATCACAGAGTTACAGCCTTTCACTGCATGAACGGCAGCCGTAACAAGATTATACTTTGAAGTAACACACAAAACCTCTAAGATGTGAATCAGGTTTGGGTTAACAGTGTTAGCATTTAATCTCCAAGAGAGTCAATTAAACCTTGGATAACCATCTCACTGATGTCTTATACTCGTGTCTTTTGCAGCACCCTAAGCGAGGAAATGATCAAGTTATTGTTTTGGATGGTTCATCAAACATATAACTAACAAGAATAAACAGCAAATTAAATGAGGCACCTTTTTGTGCTTATGGTGAGATTTAACACACAGACGAATCCAAATCTGATATTTGAATGCCAGATTATGCCTGTTAAATTCAAAATAAATTCTTGACACTCTGAGCTATTCCAATGAAATTCTGGTCACAGGCGTGAGATAAAGACAAGCTTTTATACAGCAGTTGTGCAAAATAAAGAGAAACATGGCACAAAAAAGCCTCAAATGTGCTTTAATATGGGCAGTTCCTTCTGACATAAAGTAGTATCTATTTTTTTACACAGATAAAGATATAAAACTATAACAATATCAGATTCAGCTCCACTTTTTCAATACTTGCAGGATCAACATTTATCTGAATATTATTTGATTAAAGTGTTTCACAGCTTACAGTGTTTAATGAACTGTATTCTTTTCATTTCTGCCTAACAGACCTTTTTCACTGTCTCTGTTGTGTCACATCCGGATAGAATCAGAAAATTAGTGTGTGATATTTATAAAAAATAATAAAAGTGGCTACCAAAGCTGCCAATGCTCTTAAATAACAACAATAATAACTAGAATAGTTTCCTGAAGAAAACGCAGAGTGATTGCGCAGCTGAAGCTTGTTTCTGGAGGATAGCAACGTGTTTCAAAGTAATTGCTATGGCATGATGGGTGTGAACTGAGTGGTTGTTAGGGGGTTGCGAAGTGGTTGCTAGTTTTGTCAAAAATGAATGGCAGTCTATGGGAGGAACGAGGGATGAAAAAAATGACACGGATGTCTGGAAAAAAAAAGATTATGCTTTGTTGGGGGTGAAATGAGTGGAACACAATGAGAGGAACAAGGGATGAAAAAATAACACACAGAGGAGTGCGAGTCAGTATGGCTGTGCAGTAGAGTTCGAGGGCCTAACCTGAATATGCGAAATGTTGTCTTTCGGTTGAGCAGAAGTGCAGTATGGACGTGCAATTTCTTACTCCAATCATTCCTATGGGGACAAATCGTAATTTAACCAAGATTGTACGAAAAACGTACGTCGGATTAAAAAGCTATACAAGCACAGCATTCCCGACCAGACTGACCATCCCGGAGTTGGAACGGGGTCGGTATCTCGCAGGAACTGCGGGACGAGTTAGCGGACAAGATCAAGCAGAAGAAGAAGAAGAAGAAGCAGCAGCAGAAGAAGAAAAAGAATCAGAAAAAGAAGACAATGATGTTGTTGATATATTTATCAAGCTCAAGTCAGCTTCTTATTCTCCCGATGCTCATTTGAATTTTCCGTTCCACCGTAAATGGTGCGGCAGTTACACTGAGGTGCCTTAAATGTAGAACTAATCTCCAAAGTTGGTGAAAACCAACATAAGCTTATCTCAATAAATGCATTAATTTACCTCAATAAATGATCCTTAACGAATACCTCAACCTTTCTCTTGGAGATGTTTACTGAGCAGCTAACGAGCAGCACAGCGAAGCAGCTGCTAATCTCGTCTCACTGGCTGATCTAACGCCGCGTCCCAAACCACACACTTCTGTACTTCACCTACTACACTAATGAGTGCACTTCTAATGGTATATGCGCTATAATTGCACACTATTTAGTGTGCTAGTTCGCGGTTTGGGACGTGAAAGCGAGAAATGTCAGCCGTTCAGATTTTAGCTTTCACTACAGCAACAAGTCAAATAAAATCAGGTCAATACACTCAAATATATCAGTTAATACGTTTCAAAATGAGATTTAAAAAGTGTTTTTTAAAAACATGTTTTACTGCCTTTGCTGGATCAGTTGTGGCTTTGTTCTCATTACAAAACGCCACAGCTCCGCTGAGTGAACTTGGAAAGTTGCGATTGTGACGTCACTCATACATGTTGATGGCGTCATAATGAGGTACGCGAGGGTATAAATATGACCTTCATTAGGGAAGAAATCACTTGTGGATTTTCGTCCGATCAGTGAAGCTCTTTGCGACTATTATTTTGCGCTCAGTCTTTTTACAGACTCATTTTTCTTCTTTCAGAAAACAGAAACAGAACTTGACGTTTGTCTGCAAGTTCTTTCATCGTTCTCTTTTTTAACACCTCATCTTGAGTTTGTTGCTTTCCATCTACTGTCATTACTGAGGTGTAGTTATGAAGGAGGACAACTATCAGAGGAGGAGTAAAAGGACCACCCTAATGGAGAAACGACAGGTTCTACAGCCTCTCACAGTGAGACGAGAACCCGGTGATGTCACTCCTAGTAGAAAGGGCAGTGGTTCCTTTCTCCCAGACATTTTGAAAAAAGAACCCCAAGCTGTGAAGAAGCCCAGGCCCAGCACACCCACCAAGCTTCCACCTCTGCCTGTGCAGACCGTCAGTGGAAACTCGTCTGCTTCCCGAGGCATCAACATCGGCGGTGGACTCACTGCAGAATCCCACCTGCTGAATGTCGTAGGTGCAGCAGGGAAGAGCTTCATCCAAAGCAGAGTTTTGTCCAGGCCTCAGCTGACAACATCCCACCGAAACTGTGTGACTGCAGGTAAAAGGACGCTGCTAGAACCCCTGACAGCTTACCGAGCTCTCTGTGTTGATCAAAAGCCTGAACATGGAGAGGGAGTGAAAACGTTGCAGCGGAACCAAAATAGCAGCTGTGCTGTGACTGGAGAGATCCACACCTCAGCTCAGCGTCCACACACTCAGCCGACCCCACCTGCTGGTCCAAAGCCCCAGAGGCTCGTGTCTCAGAGGAGACGTGGAGTCTTACTGAAAGCACTTGAGAAGGTGGTGCTAGAAGATGAAAATACAAACACAGACCTCAAAAACACGTCCCTACCAGAAGGTGAGGCTCAGACTGGACAACAAAAAGAGGAGCAGAGCAAAGATCAAGACCAGGAGATCCAGGAGCACGTTGAGGACTCCTCTCGGGACGCTGATAGTGCTCGTGAACCTGATGCTGCTCCCTCAGTAAATCAGCAGGACGTCCCTGCGGTCCATCTGTGTCAGAGAAGGAAGTCTAAGGCAGAGCTCTGTGAGACACTTGGGGTCAAGCCGTACTTCTTTCGTGTGCGAGTGCGTGTGTCCATCTCACCAGACCTGTCTGAAGTAGAGGAGGACGATGAAGACGACTGAGAGTCATAGCAGCAGAATGAACCCTAAGGATGACACCACCTTCCATCACGATGCCTAACAACTACAGACCAGCAGGACAACCCCAGCAAAAATAATAATAAATAAATAATGCATTACATTATGAAGTCTCTGTTTCTGAGTATAGAGGAAGTGAGAATATTAAGGATTATAATTCTGCTCGTTATTATGGTTCAGGCTTCACTCTTGAAAGATAACTTGTGCAGTTTGTTATACTGAACGTCAGGGTTTAATTGAAGGCGTTAAAAATACAGATTTTAAATGCCCGAACTTACTCTCACGTAGCCTCTCAGAAAACATGGACTCACACTTATTCAACACACACGTTCATGTTCAACCCCACACACACACACGCACACACACACATTCAACATACACTTTCTACCTGCACTTGTGTGTGAATGAGTGAGTGTGTGATTTCTAGTGTAATCATTGAAATTCATGCATACATACAGGTGAACACAGGTGAGGTTTAAGACCTTTACAAGCCATGATTCAGTACATATCAGCTTAATACATCATCATAATGAACATAATTTTCCTAAGACTGTGTCAGACGGTTGATTACACAGTTGTGTTCACCTGTGTTGTTCTGTCTTCATTGGGATTGAGCTTCTCAGATCAATAAAATAGCTGTGATGCTGTGAGTGGTCTTGTTCTGTTTGCCTTCAGTGACTGAGTAAAGTACTGAGAAAGAACTAGTTGGTTTTCATGCATGGTTGTTTAGATTTTCTGCTGTGCTGTGGCTGAATTAATGTGTATAAAGTAATTGGAAGTAAAGGAAAATAATTAACATGTACATATAATGTGTCTTAAATTATGGTATGAATTTTAATGTAATAATAAAATAAATAATGAAAAGTAATAATGGAATTGGGCCAGTCCTGGTCCAGTGTCATTAAAAGATATGGGCCGGATCTGGGCCTATGCTGGACAATTTATGACAGACTTGGGTTCTCTGATTGGCCCGTCTGACTGGGGCCAGATCTGATCGGACTCAAGTAGAGTCTGCATGCGGAAATCGGGCCGACAAGTAGGAATAGGCCTGGAGATGGGCTGAGTGTATTGTGCTAGCTGGGCTGCCATCTTGTCATTCACATCAACAGCACACTATTGTTTCTTTCTGTTTCCTTCCTGGTGATGTGAATAGCAGCCTTGGTAGACCGTTCTGTTTTGTATTATGTAATACAAACAAGGAGCCTTCATAGGACAGCCCACCGAGGACCCTCATTTCTCAGCTGCAGCCTGGCTTTTTGAACACAGTTACAGAGTCAGAAAATTTAAAAATAATTATAACTCTGTAAACGCCTTCAGTTCATGTAAGTACATATTTATAGATGACAGAATATCATACAGTTTGTGATACAGCAATATATTCATAACAATACACCAAGACACTGAAACACACACAGGCACAGATTTTTAACTGCTAAGTAATTGTGTGTTCTTTCTGTTTTTCCAGGAAACACCAGAAATTAACAGAACACTCACTGCCTCAGACTTCT